TGTCAATGGAAGACAAAATATGTCTGATTAAACTAAGTCAGGAATCGGTTTACTTAACATTAAACAATATGGTTAGATTTTATTGTGAAAAACCTTATATCTCAATGGAAATGTGGAGTCGGGAATTGTGGTTTTTCCCTTGGGCTCTAACAGCTATACATCACCCCCTTTTAACAGTTGTACACACACGTTAGTGGAAACAGAATACGTGTCCTTAATGGCCTATAACCCGTCTTTGGGGATCAGCAGAAAAGTCAGCACTGTATAAAGCACTGTATGTTAAAAGAAAGTAGAACATCACCTTACAGAAATAGTAGCAACCAGAGCCCCTCTTCTATTCTGGGTTAGATTTCTGTTAGTGATATTTTGAGAGTGGAAAGAGATTATTAGGATGTTTTTAGCTACATTCCCTGAAGTAGTACATGGACCTTTGTTAATGTCACCAGGACTAATTCATTTTTTTTTTTACCTGTCTTTACTTTCATTTTTATACATAATATCCACCATACAAAAGAATTACATTCAACAACTAACAAATGTGAACATAGTAAATTCAATATAGGTAAAATAACATGAAAGAGAACGGTGTACAGCATTGGACGGGACTGTTTATGTGTGGTTGGTGAGTGTAATCACTCAAGGTTTCCATAGTATTAATTGGGTTTGATATGGGTATCTTCCCAGGACAGCCTAATTAGATCTGTTAAGACATTTCCTCAAGGAAACACTCCATAGTTAAAAAATGATATTTTGTTTTCAGGATTAGAGTGTTCTTTTAATCTTGTAGGTGCCATACACCACCCCATACAACAAAATAGTAAATATTACTTACCTATCAAGCGGTGAGTCAACTCTCACCACTGCTCCTCTCTGCCCCGTAAAAAAAAAAATATATATATATATTCTGTTTAATGTTACAATGTTCTTTAACTTCATGATGGTGTCTATGAATTTAAATTAAGCAATTATAACTAATAAAATATTGTGGTTATGCAACCATTAGTAAATTCAGCACAAAATGAAGTACAGCAGAATCTGCTCTGAATAATAGTCCAACTATGAAGGATTAATGTGTGCCTGAGAGCCGCTAAACATGGACAACAAGGTCACCTTCAGGTAAAATAGACAATCTATACATTTTAGAGATATTTTCCACAAAGATGTTTGATGCAAGTCAACAGGACAGCTGCAAATTTGTGCACATGAGGAATTGTGGTATCTCTCTGTGGGAAGAGAGGATGTGTGCAGCTGCTTGTAAATATCACATTTTCAAAAAATGCCATATTAGAGAATGTCAAATTAGAAAATGTATTATTACATCGTGTATACATGTATAGCAATTTGGCACGCACGATGGAATGAATCTCAATATTGCACATGGTGAGAGCACTATTGCATGTGACATCATGTGTATTTGATGCACATGATGTCACAGTCATGAAGTCACAGTGTAAGGTCACTCATGCACCAGCTCTATACATTTTCATCAGAAAGCAGGATTGTCTGAAGTATTTTAGCCACTTTCCAGCCTCACAGATCACTGTTAAAGCAGTATCATAGGTAAGTACGGGTGGGATAAAAAATCTTATTACATGGCTATAGTGGACAACCTAGTATTTTTCAGGTGTTGATGGACTTAAACTTACATTGCCCCCCAGCTAACCAGATTAATAAAGACTGTTTTAATACTTTTGCATTACAGATTACAAAAGACTTGAAAAGACTGTCAGTGACAGGGAAGTCTGTGACGCAGCATAGGTGACTCATAGGTGATTGGTCACAAAGCTTCTCAATGAGAAGACTCTTATTGGTCAATGGTCATAGAATTTGTCGTCAGTGCCGGAAAAGAAGAGGAAGTCTTGTCGTAGCTGCAGATACATCCTAATATTTCATATACAACCAAAGAAAATATTAAAAAGAATATTTATTTGGAGGTATATCTGCTAAATTGTGAATTAATTATTTTACATTGACTGTGCCTTTAACCCCCTAAGTTGGTTATTCAAATGAGCCACCACTGATAGGGACAGGAACATCTTACTCATTACGCCCCTGGCAACTGTCTACAATAAGTTGTTTATTACAGTGATATACCGGAGATCCATTTTTGCTCGTGGGAAGAGACTAATTATTTTCAAAATGTATTTTAATATTAGTTATATTACACATGAAACATGGACAACTATGTAAATAAAGCAATTTAAGAATGGGTCACTGAGCTCATGCTATGCCTTTGAAGGAAAACTGACACCATTTTAATTTTTATTGGAAATAAAAGAAAACGTGTTATATGTGTGAATTAGTAAATAATAAACACAGAAGCTATAAGTAAATACAATCTCCATAGTTACCCTTATTCTGTGGAAGTGGCCATCTTAAATATTTTTTTTTGTTTAATGCACCACACATCTGCCAAGTCTGTGCTGCATTTTAACAGCTGAAACTGGCTCTGAGCACATTTTTTAACATGCCCTTCAATAGTGCATGACCTCTGAATTTGTGAATGTTCTTTAGCTCTTGGTTTCCCATTTAAGGTTTGGTTGGATAAGTAGTGCTTCAAAAACCAAAGACAATTTAAAGATGGCTGCCTCCCATGCAGCAAGAGAAATCTAGGTAATACACTGAAATAAATAATTTACTTATAAATAATTAGCAATCCACAAGAATATACGCAGACATAACACATGCAAACTTTTAATTAAAAATATTAATAATAATAAAAAAAACTACAGTTTTCCTTAAAATAGGTCACTTAAAAATGTTCCACTGCTCTAGGAAGTAGGGTAGTCTCCCATTAGCTTATTGTCATCTGTACATATTCTGGTCACTGAAAATAACCAGATTTTTTTTCTGTTGGTTTTCAGTCAATCATAATTCAATTTCTACAGCATATATATATTTTTTTCACACTTAATGTCTCTGTAAACCTTCTAACCAAATTAATATAAAATAGTAGACTTCTTCTAACCACAAAGGCCAACATGGCAAGACACATCATCATTCATCATATAGCATTAGATACATATCTTCTTTCAGCCTCCTATTTTATATAAAAGCAACTTAAAATTAGTCAATACTGGGCCTTTAATAATATTACAAACGGCAATATAAGAAATATAAAAATATTTGAAATATAATGGCTACAACATATTTGGTTAATATTGGAAATATAACCTCTTACAATTCCTTTGGCTAAATTGTTGAGCTTACCCTGCTGGTTTGCAAATCAACCATGGACAGGTAGAGTAGTGTATAGCTTTTATTATCAAAATAATGAACTCGATCCGCTTACCAATTAGTTAGATTTATTTTAGGATAATTGATGAGTTTAAGCAGAGATTTTCACAAATCTCAATGAAGACAAAACTAAAGTGGGGCATAGCATGCTCTTAAGGCGGGGCCATCGCCGCTGAGGATTCAATGGCCAGGAGAGGCAGCCAAAGGTGAATTCTACTTACCTGAACCTGTCCCTCGAGGGTGCCACCACCTTCTCCGGGTGGGTCCTCTTTGCATGCTTTAAAGTACAGCATTGAGGTCTTTGGAGCATCCCACAAGAGTGTGGGTTTGTCCATAGATAAGTAAGGGGGGGGGGGAGGGCTAGTTGACAAATCGAGATGGCAGTAGCTCCGGCTAGTGTCTAGAAGTGTCAGGTGAACAAAGTATACTGAGACAAAGTACTCGCTATTTTGTCTCAGTATATCTCTTGACTGGATAGGAATTTCAATGAAATTCCAACACAGTTTTCAGGGGGGTGAGACAGTGCCGCTTTAACCCCTTAAGGACACATTACATGTGTGACATGTCATGATTCCCTTTTATTCCAGAAGTTTGGTCCTTACAGGGTTAAATGTCTCTGATCCTGTAAGTCTCTGCATTGGAAAAAAAGGTAAGTAAAAACCTTTTTAATTCTTTTTTTTTTTAAATGTAACTTGGGGGGACTTTAGTTGTAAACTACTGCAGAATATGTTAATGCTGTGTATACATGCCAATTCTAATAATAATAATTGTGTAAACAATACAGTGCCTCAATGTTTAAAGCTTGAGTTTAGGAACTTTTAATAAATAAATAAATGGTAAACAATTTAGCTTTTAAAGCTATTTTCCCATTTTTATCCTAAAAGCAAATCTGCTGGGATTTTCTGAACTTTGATATCGGAAAACACTAACACATTAAGTCTGCAAAGAATATAGAACCAAAAAAATTTCATATTTGCTATTTTTGAGACAATTTACAATTCCAAAACCCTCTTTATTTGATTGTAGAAAATGATAGCGAACGCCTTAACAGAACGAATGATATCTTACTATATTTATATACATAATAGTACATTTTTGTATTTTATTGTACCCTTAATGTAACAATGCAATGATTTGTGGACCCATAACATACTTGAAAACAAGAGAAATCTCAATGTATCTTTCCTGGTAAAATATTTTATCAGTAAATAAATAAATAATTCCGAGCCAACCTTATAGCTTCACCTATTCAGAAATGCCCCAAGTACTGTTACCAAACTGTTCCCATTGATGACAGAATAATGACTGCAATGTATTGTCCTGAAATCAGTCACTCTGCCAGCAAAAATATTATTCGGATGTTACTGGTCGAGCTTAAAATGGTTTAGAAACTGCAAAACATCCATCAGACTGTTAACCTATAAACATCCCAAACCTAAAATAAACCAGGGAAGGATAGAGAGGAGGAAGAAGGTGTCCTATGCAACCGTTTTGGAACTTCTCATAAGGCATTTAATCCAAAAGGGAAGGAAGCCAATTGGCTAAACAGAAGTGAGAGGTAATTAAAACAAATTAACTATTTAAGGGCAGCAGTCCCTGTATCAGTTGGACATTGATAGATCTGAAAGATATTGAGTTAGTTATCTCACCCTGACATTAGTGTCCACATAAAGAATTCATTTCTCAAAGGGACTCTTCATCACACCCATCCATCCCAAGCGATGGTTAGATAAATTAGTATTTTATCATTTAATTTTCATTAGCCAAGATGTAGCACTTAATAAAGCAGCCATAATGGTCCTAAACCTGTCCCTTGAAAACTTTCCTTGCTGTGTAATGATGATAAATCACAGAGTACTTACCAGCTCATGGGGTCAGGTCTCAGCTGCTTGTGAAGGGCAACAGAGAATCCGAAAAAACTCCCCTTTTCCCCGTCTTTTATGATTGTGTTTTTGACATCCAGATTAAAGGCACTGATGGTGTCTATAGCCAGCAGGCTGAGGTAGGTCAGTAGGAGCCATGCTGCAGGCATGCTGCAGATTGGTGGGTGTGGAGGTTTGGGAGAAGAATAAAGCAGGGCTTCCCTCTTCCCACTGCCAGCTGAGTCCAGGACAAGGTCACTTGCTTGACTTCACCTCCCCAGGTCCTGTCACCCACACGCTGTCATAGAAGGGAGTGAGGCTGTGACCAGGCTGAGCTCTGCCTTCACACAGGATAAGCCCCCCTTGTCTGTCAGAGCACAGGATCCCAGGCAGCAAAGAGAGGGGAAGGGGGAGGAGGGAGCAGGTGGAAGGAGATCTGAGAGGAGCAGACACCAGCCTCTCCAGTGGCATCGATTCCCAGCCGACTGATGATCATTACAGAGATGTTACAGAGCACTCAGGGGGGAGGATGCCTCACACGATGCTGAGGTCATTTCTCACTGCTGCTGAGTGTGAGCTCACAGTGTTAGTAGCAGTGGTGTGGTGGTTCCTGCTGAGTGGCAGGGGGTGTGTGGTTATAAATACTGCCAATGAATGCTACAGTTACACAGCATTCTATTCTCATCTGCAAAGAACTTCTCTCTTTTCTGGGTGATCTAATGGGAATCTGCATTCTACAAGTCATCCTCGACCAATAAAGGAAATCTTCTAGCAGTGATATGGATCGCAATAAATGTATAAAAAAATGTAGGATTTAAAATCCTGCATGTTATGGTCTGGGTCAGTACAATGATTTTTTGTAGCAGGATGTATAAACATATCATGCCACCTCCTCATATCAGGTGTCCTATATTAGTGTTCTCTCCTACGCTATTGATTTTGTCACTTGGTACCCACATCCAGGGACACTAGGGAGCTGTCCTCAGGCAGCACAGTGCAAGCGCATTATTAAACGTACTTGCGCTGTGTGGTAAGCGCTATGACTATGCAGAGAGTGCACCTTCAGTTGGTAAAGCTGACCCCTTGCCAGGCAGGTCCACTCATTCTCAGTGTCACCAGAGTCGGAAGTTTCTTACTGGTGATGACCCCTAGGCAGTGGCGTAGCGTGGGTTGTCAGCACCCGGGGCAAGGCAAGTAATTTGCGCCCCCTAACCCGTGGATTTTAGCACTCGAGTCTCTTCCACTAGATTAGTTAAAGAAACCCTTACCCCCCAAGCACATGTATTGTTTGTTATGAAAATACTTATGTAATTAAAGTAAAATGCATCTAAATACAAGTTTATTTTCCAACACTTTATTGAGTGCGAACATGCATTACACACATTCTCCACATTTTCAGCAGGTCTATGAATACAAATATACAAATGTAGTAACCTAGCATGGGCCATGCTATTATATGTCGTCTCACAACCATCGTAAACGACAAAAAATATCAAGAACAAAAACTAAACATCAAAATGGAACCATACCCTGGAGATGATCCAAGACTGGGCTAGATGGAGCCAACTTCCTCAATCCTGTACCTCTAATTGTAATTCTTTAATAGAAGTGCAAGATATCAATCTGTATATAATATACAGATTAATTTAAATTCTCCTGCTTTTAATTAGCGCAAATTTTTCAACAACGGAATAGTGTTTCTTTAATGTGAGGTAAATTAGAGATTAGTGCCACAAATAATATACTAGATTGCCTACTTACAACGAGATGAGGATGATGATGGGCTCTAGCTGCAGTCTGGCTCCACTGGTCTGGTGTAGAACAGGCTCTCTGGAGGCTGTTTGTAACTGTGGTCACAAAAATCAATATACTAGGAGAACGGGAAGCAGCTCCATTTTTGGGGGGCCCTTTACACAGCTCAAGGTCTGGGTCCCAGGGTCCACCTTCATGTTCCACCAATTAGTTTGTTCACAGGGGGTGGAGTGTGTAGGGGATGCCCTGATATGTGTGTAAGGAATGCATTGTGTGAATCTGTGTTTGTATGTGTAAGGGCTGCAAGGTGTGTTTCTGTGTATGTACAGGATGCAGTGTGCAGTGTAAGGGGTGCATTGAGTGTGTGTAAGGAATGCATTGTGTGTTTCTGTGTGTGTAAGGGATGCATTGTGTGTAAGGGTTGCATTGTTTGTGTGTGTGTGTGTGTCTGTGTGTGTAATGCATTGTGTGTTTTTCTGTGTGCAAGGGGTGCATTGCATGTGTGTGTGATGGATGTCAATCTCTCCCCCCTCCCTTGTTACTCTCTTCTCCCCCCTCTCCCTTCTCATTGCCCCTTCCTCCCCTGTAACTCTCACCCCCCGTCAATTTCTTCTCCCCCCCACCAATTTCTTCTTCTCCCCCCTCCCCTACCAATTTCTTCTTCTCCCCCTCCCCTACCAATTTCTTCTTCTCCCCCCCTCCCCTCCCCATTTCTTCTTCTCCCCCCTCCCCTACCAATTTCTTCTTCTCCCCCCTCCCCTGCCAATTTCTTCTTCTCCCACCCTCCTGTGTTCTTCTTCTCCCACCTCCCATTTTCTTCTCACCGTTTCTCTTTTCCACCCTCCCCATTTATTCTCCCCCTCCCTACCAATTTCTTCTACCCTCCCTCCATTTCTTCTCCCCCCTCCCCTACCAATTTCTTCTCCCCCTTCCCTCCCAATTTCTTCTCCCCCTTCCCTGCCAATTTCTTCTTCTCCCCTGCCAATTTCTTCTCCCCCCTCCACAATTTCTTCTTACCCTCCCCCTCACAATTTCTTCTCACCCCCTCCTCAATATTTCTTCTCCCCCCCTCCCTCCCAATTTCTTCTCCCCAGTCCCCTCACAATTTCTTCTTGCCCCTCCTGACAATTTCTTCTCCCCCCCTCCATCCCAATTTCTTCTCCCCCCTTCCATCCCAATTTCTTCTCCCCTCCATCCCAATTTCTTCTCCCCCCATCCCAATTTCTTCTTGCCCCCCTCCTGACAATTTTTTTCTCCCCCTCCATCCCAATTTCTTCTCCCCCATCCCAATTTCTTCTTACCCCCTCCACTGACAATTTCTTCTCCCACCCTCCCCATTTCTTCTCCCCCCTTCCCTCCCAATTTCTTTCTCCTCCCCCCCACCTTTGTTGTAGCGTGGCCGAGCCCTGCAGCATGATGGTCCGCGGGTACAGGTTGCTTTTGTTTCCTGTACCCGGCCGGACTAACAGGAAGTGCACACTGAGTGTGAACTTCCTGTTAGTCCGGCCGGGTACAGGAGACAGCTGCTCTCTGTACCCGTCGGACCATCATGCTGCAGGGCTCGGCCACGCTACTACAGAGGGAGTGACAGGAGGGAAGCGCTGAGCGTTTCCCTCCTGTCAGCTCCTCTCCTCAGGTTGCGCCCGGGCGGTGCGGTCCGCCCTCATGGACGCACTGCCCGGGCAAAGCTGCAGCCGCCTGAGGCTCTCTACAGAGTGCTCGGGCGGCTGCAGCATGGGGGGGCCGGCCCTGAGCGCGCCCCCCTAGGGCCCATCTAATCCCTCTTGCTAGATACCTCCCACAATTGAAAGATATGCCATGCCCTACCCGTTTTTTAAACCTTAAATAGAGACTCTAAGCACCGTAACCACTACAGTGTGTTGTAGTAATTATTTTGCCAGCAGTCCCTCAGCACTCTACGACATTTTGAAAGTTCGACACTTACCTTACTGTGTGTCAGGTGCCTGTAGTACTTCTAATCTCAGTTGATTTTAAAAAGCAGGCGTTCATAATGCCGGCCATTGATTATGGGGATGTAGTGTATGTATCACAAACCCACCTTAATAAACTTAATACGTTATATCATTTGTTCTGCCGCTTTGTACTAGAATGTAATTATTTTACTCACCACTGTGACATGTTAAAAGAGCTAAACTGTCTGTCGCTGGAATCCCATCACACTCTTCATCTTTCCAGCCTTCTGCATAAGAGCATTTCTGGGAAGCTCCCAACCTACCTGAGTAGAATGCTCTCCCCGGCTGTTCTCACCTCCTATAACATCCGATCCAGTACTAGCACGATATTTAGCATACCACAATACAAAAATAAAGTGTCTCAATCCGCCTTTTCCTGCAGAGCACCGCAATCAGGGAATAACCTCAGGGACACAGTCAAATCTTCATTCAATCTAAAATCTTTTAAGAGATCTATGGCAATATACCTCAATACAGAATGCACCTGTCATGGTTGAATATATTTATCACCTGTTACGTGTTAAAATTTATATATGTGTATATGTGTGTGTGTATATATATAGATAGATAGATTTTGTTTGTATATTGTATTTTTTTTAATATTGTACCCTATTGTACCAATGTAATGTTTTGTGTACCCAGGACACACTTGAAAACTAGAGAAATCTCAATGTATCTATCCTGGTAAAATATTTTATAAATAAATAAATAAATATTCCCGCATTCTAATACCAAATCATACCAGGTTTGACACTATTCATTGGCTGAGACTGCCAGTCGGCCTAAGAGAGCAAGTTAAAGTAACATTCTAACATTATAAACATATATGTATTTACACTGTTAGAGTGTTCATGTGCCTTTTAGAATCAGGGCAGGGGCAAACTGCATTATTATTAGCAATAGTATTTATATAGTGCCAACATTGTCTGCAACTCTTTGCAATATAGAATGCAGAGGATATTTGACAAGCACTAATTAACACACACAAAATAATATTGAAAAGGTAAGAGGTAAAGAAGGCCCTGTTCAGACATTTTTACATAAAAAGTAAAAATGAAATGAAATACACCTTTCGCCCAGTGGCATCCTGGTTTCACTTTGGCTGCTACTAATACTCCTTTATGACCAAGATTCGGGGCTCTAGTCCCTATTCTCAACGGAAGCTACTGTATGTAATGCTTCTTCCAGTTTCTTAACCATAGCAGGGTAGATGCATTGCATCCCTGATGAGCCTAGTTTTCCCCTCCAAATTCTGTTCACCCTCCTGCTCATACTCCTCCCATTCCTATTCATCATTTCAAAAATAGTGTATTATCTCTTTAACAAGTTAAACACACAAATTTACACTTACAATAACCCTTTATTGGGCAACCCTAAAAGGACCCCTATAACTCTTCTTCCTCCACTTCTGTCTATTAATGCATGTTCTTAGGGAGATAAAAATATAATAGAGACTGTGTCTCATGAGACAAAAAAAACCAAAAAAACACAATTTTATTCACCCACGTTTAAAACAAATTTTCAGGCATCTAAATCAAAGAGGATGAAGCAGGATCCTCTTCTTCCATAAAAGCTGTAATCGCCACTCAACACTTTTTGTCTGAAACAAAATTCTTCTTGGGTAATCTATTGTTATTGTCCATCTGATAATCCTGGATTATGGGCTAACCAAAAGTTTACCCGATTTTCCACTTGGGACACAATACATTTACGTTTTAGCAGCTGAAACATAATTTTCAAAAGATATCGGGATGTTTGTTGTCTATTTTGTCTGTTAACTCCCGATGCCAGCAGTGCCCTCAGAGGTTAAGTAGCCAAACTATTTTACAACTTGATTGAGGTCCACCGGGACCCTACCGCCGCCACCTTGGTAGAGGGAAAGGTCTCCATATAGCTAATCATGATGGTACAGGAAGA